TTTAAAAAAAAAAAAAAAAAAAAAAAAAAGAAAAAACAAGTATTTGATATTTACTTGTCTCAGCAAAGCTAGCCTGGATTTCTTTTGCACTGAGTACGTGTAGTAACACAGCTGCTAATATTTTACAGATTAGTTTTCAATTTTTGAATAATACATGATGGAGGGTTTCTTGAAAACCGTATGGAAGTTTTTTGGCCAACATGCAAAAAAAAAAAAGAGCTAGTGACGTCCCTTTGCTTATGGCTTTTCAACCCCAATTTTAACGTTTCTTTTGGTATATTATTCAAGATAACACCCATTGCCGTGGAACTTCATTATTTAGGCGTAGCGAGACCTCCAGTCGGGCCTTTATTTTTCCTCACAGCTGCTTACACTTTGTACAGTTATAAAACTTACACATAAAAACCTTTTCAAAACAAATCGTCATAATTACATCACGTGGAGAGGAATGACTGGTAATGTAGTTGTCTCTCAAACGAACATAAATTGAAATTAAAACCACTTTAGAAACGCGCCGTTTTATGTTTCTCTAAAACATCGTCACCGTTAGGACAAGTACTGGGCCAAAAAAACTGCGAGCGCGGCGACAGCGGCAGAGGGTACGAGTTGTGAAGACGATCCAGTTCCTTTTTCCTTTCCTATAAAGAAATTTACTAGTTACGTGAACAGATTGTGACTAAAGAAAGCAAGTTTTATAATATCAACAGTTGTTGGCTGGGAACTGTCCCAGTATTTATAAAAATGCAGTGATAAGTCAAAATATCTTGTACCTTCCGTTCGTCTAGTTCGTTCGTATTCTGCATCTTCGTCTTCTGAATTCCTTTCTTCCATTTCGAGAACAACGCCAGTGCTGACCTTGGGAGTCGTTTGAGTAACCGTAGTTACGACCTGTAAAAGTTGTCTTTTGGTGAAGTAATTGCCATTTACACAATATTTCAAACCATAATTCCACTTCAAATTGATGTTAAGTTTGAACATCCTCGAAGTGTGCTGCAAATAATGCTCTTTAAACCATTACTGGTATATAAGGAGACGTAACAAACGTGAATGGAGCTCCAGGTGTTGTTAGAATTATATCCTAAAATGAACCGCATTGACTTGAAAAACACCAATGTTACATACCCATACATATACGAAATCACTGGATCTCGTATGAAAAATAATGTTCCAAATTTCTTTGACCTTAGAGGTTTGACTAGTGAAAAATGCAGTAAAGTCTTATTCCAAATATAAATCTGACTGAATAGGCGCAGTAAGTACATAAAGCAGACTTTTTCTTGTAAGATAAGGTATTGGCATTGACGTGGCAGGAACGACGATACAACTGATGTGTAAGCGTCTAACACTTTTGTCTCCGGTAGAAAATGATTACTGGTGACTTCTTTAATTAAGCTGTTCACAATATTATCCTTAAATAGTTTTTTCCATCTTCAGATGAAAAGCGGTCATGAAAAAAAAAACCAAACCAGCAGACGCTATACTTAAGTTTTCATATAATTTTAGAATACTGGAAAAGAACAAATTAGAAGCAGCCTAAATCCTCCTACAATTTCTCGACTCCCTGTTCGGGAAAATACTTTGCTATACGGTACCACAGTTATGGAGCAACAATTGCAACGGATAAAAGTATATTTTTTTATGCTTCTATGACCTAATTAACGTACCACAAAAGCGCTTCCGCCGTTTGGACACTTCTCCTCAATGCCCGCTCTCATACAGCTCAAGAAGCATGTAGATGAACTGAAAAGCACCTTCTGCCGCAAGTAATTTTTGTGAAGAAAGAGCTTTTTAAAGGGAAGAATAGCATGACTTACTTGCATAATTGATGGAGATCGGGAACTGATAGAATTTTGTTTCCCTTTTCATCAAGGAAGTTTAAGACATCATGACTTCTTGAATTCATACTCGCTGCATCCAACAAAGTAGCACCCAATTTGCAAACCCTTTCACAAGTCGCATGAATCTTTAAAGTTTCTCGACGAATGCACGGAATTAGACCTACAGGTTGCGTAAAATGCAGCATTAAATAAGTAGCAACTAATGCCTAGTCATCTTTATTAACATTCAGTATCAACCTGCATTAGCTTCGTCATCTTTGCAGAGGTACTCATAAGCATGCATCCCAATATCAATCATCATACTCCTGCAGTTCGGTTTCGTCGCCAAACATTTCTTCATCGCTTCAAATTGTCTTAAAATTAATTAAGGCTCTTAGTGAGACAACAAGTAATTCTTGGTTTTCAGATACTTCCTAGCACTATCAGTGAAAACAGGCTAGACAAAAAAATTAAAGAAATAAAACAAGAACACAGGAACACCAACTTGCAAAGCGCCTTTGTCTTTTCTAATGACCATCGTTCTTCAATATTCATTGAAGCCAGCGTGCTACCCAGTTCATTGACACAGTCCTGCACACAGCCAGGAAGACGAAACGAAGCAAAAAGATTAGAAACATTGAAATTTTTCAGGTTTTCTAAAAAAAAATAATAGAATACGAAATGACTACGGTGGTGCCAAAACAGCAAGAGTTATAAGCCATTGTTACCCAAAAGATTTTGGAGCGCTGACTCATCCGGTACGCTGTTTTCTGGCTGCGGATAGAACGGTAAGTTACTAGTACGTTGAACAAGTATGAACAACAAAATTAATCGAATAAGATATGTTAAGTATGCCATTAATTAGTAATTCTGTAAAACCTAAATAAAAACTCACATTTATTCAAACATGACTTCAATAAAATTTGTTTAATTTGAACTGTGCGACATCAGGTGCGGCAGCATAAGCATTATGCTAATAATCTATTTGTTGTTAAAATATTAGCACAAAAGTCTGTTTAAAAAAACTGTCTGATAAACAGCAGCTTTTGATAAACAAACACTATTTAGCGACATATTAGTAACTATCAAATTGAAACAATGATTACTTATATAACTGCCACATCTAACAACAGTTTCTGACCTACGTTAATTATCTATTCAGACCTAAAGTGTTAATAAACAAGATCGTTGAATGATCTTAACGAAGTTAATTTCAATGATCTTGGCATCTTATCTGAATACTTTAATTGATAAGACGTTACGGGCTGTCTAAAAAAAATACTATAGGAACTCAACAGTTCTGTTTTTTTACTCTCGGCAACTGTACAGAGTGTTAGGCAACAATACTCAAGGCTATTTTTATCTGATGACTTCATCTTTACCTTTTTGTAAGTTGTAGCAAAATCTGTGCTTTTGATTTAGAAGTATTGCATAGACATCTGTTTAGATGCTTAACACACTAATTTCTGTTTTTTTATCGGTTTATCTATTCCAAATTACTGTAACTGGAAGGAATTGATATTGAAATTACTCAGAGCATCATTTCGTCAAAAATTAGATAATGTTCCAATATCAGAGCAACTGTTAGCTGTAAAAGTTGATTGATTTTGCTACATACTTCTTTCTTGGCTTTATTTGAAAACAACGATGCTTCATTGACAGTTAAAGAGGAAGTACTTTGAGTTTTCAGAGTTTTTTTCTTGAATTATCAAGTAATTCAGTTTTTTTTTCTGCCACGAAACACTCTTATAAACATTCTGTTTTTCCAGCTTGTTTTTTCTGATATTGCATTAATTTTCTTGTTCTTTTTTGCTAATTTATTGGTGTAAAATCTATTGTTTCAAACAGCAAAAAAAAAATCTTTTTCAATTTTAGTTAGCGTGCTAAAAACCAGTTATAAGGGTCAGTGAGAAAAGTTTGGAATTTTTATTTCAAATAACAATTAAATACATCAGGAATAAGAAACATAACAAATAAACACTTGTGGAGCAGCGTTTTTCCAAGTCTAATTTTCAGACACACATAATAGTAGTTGTCGTGATGTTTTTTAGAAACATCAATCGGATGTTATAATTTAAAAAAAAAAAAAACATGTTGAAAACATTAAAGAAGTATAAGTATTTTACACAGGCACATACATACAGTCAATCACAACCTAAACAATTATACCAAATCTGATAAAATACAATGATTAGATTCAGAACATTGATGATCACAGGTAGTTTATTAATTGGTAGCGAACTAAACGCTGGAAAGCATAAAAAACTTGAATAAGCACATATACATTTATAAGAAAAAATTTTGCTCTTTTTCAAAGCTGTTGTCAACTTTTTCTGAGCTTTCAGAAGTATTATAACTTTTCTTTTTTTTTTCTTTTTGCTTATTCAGTTGTACTCTCTCTAAAACTAGGATTTTTTTCGTAGAAGTGTTACTATTGATACCACAGACTGCCTTAATGCTTCACTTTCTGAATGGCTGTCAGTTGTGTCGCTGGTTGATGCTGACGACGACAACGTTTCTGTATAGTTTGGTTTCTGCAACAGCAGTAGCATTGATCCGTCTATATTTCTCTGTCATATTTTTTCAACAGCAAATTATCATCTTGTTAGTCAATTTTATCAGCAACTTCAACAATCTGATGCTCGAATCTTTAGTAAAGACATTGAAAAAAGTACTGAATAGA